TGCTCTAACACAAGTAAATGTAATCCGACTGTTGCGTTCCATATGGGCACTTCAAACGCAGCTGCGGTATCTTTTTGATTCTATCATATCTTGAGTACGAGCGCGAGATACACTCTCGGTGATGACATCGATAGATCGCACCTAGAGACTTAATGTCAACATATAAGACAAATTGATAAGACGAAGCATCATATCAAAACAAAGGCGTTCGCGAGCACTCATTCGTCTGAGGATAAGCGAGTGCCAGTAAAATATAAGTAATAATGCGACTCGACGGATTTAAATAAAACCAGAGGCGCGGATCTTAATGGATGCAATTTGGCAACACTGAGAGAGAAAGTGTTGCCACATTATACACGTCTCATGAATGTATTTAACACTTCTACTGTCTAATATATAGAACGGTCGCGTATTTTCGAATGTCAAGTAAATATTTGAGAAGAATAAATATTTGACAATGAACCTAATCACGATCACAGCGTCGGCAGCGTTACCAACATAATGTATGTAGTGGTGGGTTACGAACCGCGTGTTGGCGGCTGGAGAACAAGTATCTATTGTAAATTGTTTTCAAACGAGGTGAAGTTCCTGAAGCCACCGTGGCCTGTAGGACAAGATGCGCGGTGCGACTGGGCCAGCGTTGTAGTCCCGCAGCCAGGTAACAATGTATATAATGAAATACGTACTCAGCACTTGTAATAAAAACTTGCGCAATTATTAGTAGTAGGGCGTCTACACATGCGGTGCTCCTGGGGAAACAGCAATACGTTCCGGTCTGAAGGATGAAGCGGTGGTTGTACTATAGAACCGGGCACTTGAACCTCTGGTAACCATTAACTTGAACCTAGCTTGAAGATCCAGTCACTACTACAAAAAATATATGACGCTACCTACTTGTGCGGGCTTACAATACATGGAGTATACCACCAGTAAGTGACGGTCAGCGATCGCAGCTTTTAAACATAAACTCAGAATATGCCTTTGCGCATTCTCTCATCTGTCGCAACAACCCCGGCAAGAGATGGGCAGGTACTGTTTTATATCTGCACCACACAGNAGAACAAGTATCTATTGTAAATTGTTTTCAAACGAGGTGAAGTTCCTGAAGCCACCGTGGCCTGTAGGACAAGATGCGCGGTGCGACTGGGCCAGCGTTGTAGTCCCGCAGCCAGGTAACAATGTATATAATGAAATACGTACTCAGCACTTGTAATAAAAACTTGCGCAATTATTAGTAGTAGGGCGTCTACACATGCGGTGCTCCTGGGGAAACAGCAATACGTTCCGGTCTGAAGGATGAAGCGGTGGTTGTACTATAGAACCGGGCACTTGAACCTCTGGTAACCATTAACTTGAACCTAGCTTGAAGATCCAGTCACTACTACAAAAAATATATGACGCTACCTACTTGTGCGGGCTTACAATACATGTAGTATACCACCAGTAAGTGACGGTCAGCGATCGCAGCTTTTAAACATAAACTCAGAATATGCCTTTGCGCATTCTCTCATCTGTCGCAACAACCCCGGCAAGAGATGGGCAGGTACTGTTTTATATCTGCACCACACAGAGAATTTGGAATATACACACACACACACACACACACACACACACACACACACACACGCACGCATGAGGGATTTTAAATCGATTTTTAAGGAGCTACCTCCAAAAACGTATCGATGGCAAAACAATAAAATTGAGTTAATATTAGTGGAAAATTCACCCTTAGTTACAACCAACCCTTCGTAGTACGTACCGGTCGCGGTGAGAGCTCGCTGCGACGTCACGGGCTGGACGGCGAGGGAGGCGCGCACCCCTGCACCAGGCGACACATCACTAGCGAACACTTACTCAATACAGGGTGTTTGAATAAACTTACTGAATGGCAGGATGGCTTTGAACGTATTCTTGAACATAGTCAGCGTGTTGGACATCTTGCCGGGGTCTGGGCCCGGGACGTCGCGGCGACCCTGACATACTGCCGGCTGAGCGGGACGTGTCTGCTCTCCAGCCAGTCGTGGCCTTCCCTTGTGGAATGTCAGCTATTACTGAGGGTACAGGGAAATTATTTAGTCCTCTCAGGGTGCCTATCTGTTTTGTCTTTGGCTTATTTATTGATCGTATGTATTGCGTTAACAACTCTGCTCCCTGCGCTCGACCAACAAACAGTTCATAATAAATATAGCACTTTGTCTATTCTTTATTGTACACAAAAACATACAGAGACAAAATTTCTTTACAGCTTAAATCACCTAGTTTATTTATTTTCTTCCGGACGAGCACAATGCCACTACACATAGCTATAATTTAGTCGCTTTTATAATTTACTAAATTATAATTGTTTAGCCAGAGCACAGAGCCCTTCCACTCAATTGAATATTTTTGGTAGGCAACGGCTTGGCGCTGCCCCTGGCATTGCTGACGTCCACGAGTGACGGTAACCGCTTACCATCAAGTGGGCTGTATGCTCGTCTACCTACAAAGGCAATAAAACAAAAACAAAAAAAACTTCATTGCCGCTTCGGGAACTACCGGTCTCTCATTGAAAAACCACAGATTGACTAAAACGTCATTTAAAATTGAAAATGTGGCCAATTGCTATAAGCATTAAGAAAAATGAATATCAGCACATAAGGCCCGGCCTCGCTGGCACACTCAACTAATAACATTCACGCCCAGTACGACCAGAGCCGTGACCCCTTTTGTTTGTTCAAGAACATACCTTATAATGTATAGAGATTAACGACTAATTAAACATATTTAGAACTATATAGCCTTTGATCGAGTTCACCAGCACGATTTCTTGATGTCCTGTAAGGTCTACAGCGTGCTACTGCGGCGCTACGTCAAGCTACGTAATTCTACGCCATGGACGTAGCGCGTAGCATCTGTGAATTACATATGATGCTCAAGCGTCAGACGCTCGTTTGCAAGTGCGGTGAGCGGTGGGCTGTGACGCCACACGCCCTCGCCTCCTGCACCGCTCCCGCACCCCGCGCCGCGCGCACTCGCCGCCTCAGTCGATAAGGATGACAGTATTGTCCAGGAGCAAGGAGTGTTTATGTTTCTTAATTATACTCATACATGCAAAATATTTTAACCAATAGACAGTGACCATTAAACTAACATTAAAAGCAAAATACATGACCGACAGCTGGAATACGTGCAGTTATGAATTTTAAAATAATTGGAGTTTTGCCATTGCCGTTTCACAATACGGCCATTTGAAATGTAATTTATGTAGGATTGCAAATAAATTCTAAATTCAAATGAATTCGATTTATAATCTAAGGAATTTTATTTTCAATTCAATCATTTGTTTATTGGTTAGTGTTTTATTTTCACTACATTCGTATATTTTTCATCAATATGGATACGATACGAATAAGAATAATTATGGAACACGAGATCTATGGAAGTAGCAATACTAGTTTTACTGGTAGAAGGGCCTCTCGTGAGTCCACGCGGGTAGGTACCACCACCCTGCCTATTTCTGCCGTGAAGCAGTAATGCGTTTCGGTTTGAAGGGTGGGGCAGCCGTCGTAACTATACTGAGACCATATAACTTATATCTCGAGGTGGGTGGCGCATTTACGTTGTAGATGTCTATGTGCTGCAATAACCACTGAATACCAGGTGGGGGCTGTGAGCTCGTCCACCCATCTAAGTATTAAAAAAACCGCTCAAAGGGCTCACAACGTTAATTACGTGTACGGAGTGGACACTGCAGACGAACGTACGACTTTTTGTTGATTTGAACGCTTACGACAGGGATAGATAAATCAATATCTAAAAATGACCTCCATGGTCGCAGAAAAACGAAAGACAACAATGACGAATTAATGGCGATAGTGGAAGCAGACGATACTCAATCTACCGTTGAGTTAGCAGCAGTTACTTTCAACGTTAGCATCAATTTAATATTGGTTCATTTGCGTCAAACTGGCAACGAAATATATTGATAAGTGTGTGCCGCACGAATTGAACAATAATAGCTGGCGCGACGAGCGCGTTACGGTGCATTGCCTGGCTTAACAGACACAGAAACGAAGACATTTTGAACCGCAATGTAACTTGTGATGAGAAATTTATTCTTTTTGATAGTCGTAAGCGGCTATCATGTTGTTTAGACCCTGGCTTAGAAAAAAAAACTTTGAATTTCATCTGATTGTTTGACTAACCGTAACTGTGTAGTGATCTAGTACCGGTAAAGTTCATCACAGCTTCTTTTAAAATGGTACAATGGATGCGCACTCTGAGGAATTGGACACAATGATGGAGAAGCACGCGATTCTCTAGCCAGTGTTTATTAATCACTCATCTCCGCTGCTTCTACACGACAACGCTTGTCCTCATACAGCATAACCGACGACTTCGAAGCTACAAGAGCAAGAGTTTGAAGTTTTGTCTCATTACCGTAGTCACCAGACCCTGCGCCGACATATTTCTACTTTCTTCAAAGTTTGAACAACTGCTTGGCGGGGAAACATTAAATACCGAGAGGCAGTACAAAATGCTTTTGAAAAGTTTTTTGACTCCCGTACATCTGAATTTTTCAAGAAGGCTTTGAAAAATTACCACTGTTCTGGCAGAAATGCATCGATAACGTGGGCCATATATAGATTGATAGTTTTTTTTTCTTTTCTATAATTACATAAACTATACTAAGCGGCAATGTCGTAGGAAAAGACATGCTTTTTTTTAAAGCTGCGCAACGTTTACAATCATATCATATTGTGAAATTCACTAAATCATTTTTAAAGGGATTTCAGTTAAAGTAATTGATTAGAGTTTTAAATTTTGATTCGACTGTGTTAGTCGCGCTTAGATATACACAGGTAACATGTTGATATTATCCTAATAGAATTACGAGAAGTAAATCTGACGCCACAAAAAAGAACGAAATCTGAGATAGAGATGTTGCAAGCTCTCAGAGTAGAGGAGCGAGCGGACCGAGCGCGCAGTGGGTGCGCGGCGTTAGTTGTAGGCAGCTCGCGTCGGTGGCTGCACCGCGCCGACACTCGCCGACACACGCCGACACGCGCCGACACGCGCCGAAACACGCCGACACACGCGACCGGCGCGCTCCTGTAAACTGTTCGGAGATATCTCGCGAGTGAGTGTGAAGTGCTGGGTTCTTATTATTATCTGGATTCGGACAATGTCATAAAGGTACTATTGTATAATAATAAAACCACGTCTTTTGCAATCAATAATAACTGTTTAGGTACTTTGTAAACAGATGTAAAACTGCAGATTGCTTTATTGGCTTGAAACTTGTATTGAAAGTTACGAAAATTGCTAGCCTTTGATATGTAACTTTAGTTTTACATTTAGTTTGAAATTGATCATTTCATCATTTTTGAATTGAAATTATTAAAATAATAATTTTAGTAAAGGTTTTCAATTAATTAAATTTAAAATTAACATAAATGATTTTAATATGACTCTTTATTTTGAATGAGTTTTTCCGTATAATGTTCCTCTAGTATTGGCATCGACGAGGTCGTAAGTACATAATGTCGCTCTGACTGCCCCGGGTGCGAGTCGACCTGCCTCGACCTGCCGTCATGTCGCCGCTGAGTGTGATTACATCGTCACGCACCGCGNTTTTCAATTAATTAAATTTAAAATTAACATAAATGATTTTAATATGACTCTTTATTTTGAATGAGTTTTTCCGTATAATGTTCCTCTAGTATTGGCATCGACGAGGTCGTAAGTACATAATGTCGCTCTGACTGCCCCGGGTGCGAGTCGACCTGCCTCGACCTGCCGTCATGTCGCCGCTGAGTGTGATTACATCGTCACGCACCGCGCGATGTGACGGCTCGCGACTCTCGGCATGACGACGACGCGATGCGACACGTCGCATGTAAACAGCAAATAATGTTTTTAAAACGAGAAAAACTGCTTTAATAACATAGCTTACATTAAAATGCAAATCAATGAACTAATATAAAATTATTATGGCTAATGTATAATATTTGATAGAATAAACATTAAGTATGAACCAAGTGCACAAGAGTAGTAGAAAAACAGCATCCTCAGCACTGCGTAAGTGAATGTGCCTATGAGAGGGTTGACATCGAACGCCATCATCGGCCCGAGTCTCGTCCGTGATGAGAGTACCATGGTCTACGAGCCGTCCCGACTTCGTCATTTATTTTCGTACTGTAGTCCGTGGAACAGTAACAGGTTCGCGGTTTAACTTACACTCGCGATTCTCAAGTGGCTTCACCTCGCTTCACCTCGCTTCACCTCGCTTCACCTCGCTTCACCTCGCTTCACCTCGTCTCAACTCGCACAACTTTCTGCGTCGTTTCATAAATCAAATTATACACAACCCAGTTCGTGCGGCCGAGTCGGACTCCGCTCGCCGCCCCGCCGCCGCCCCGCCGCCGCCCCGCCGCGCCCAGCGTTACCACTTCTCCAATCAGCCGCTGCCGCTACTCTATACAATCTAATGCATTCATACTAAAAAGTAAATTCATTAAACCGCTCGCCTCGTCCAGAGTCGGATCTGACCTGACGCTGCTGCGTCGCTCCGGCTCTATCACTGCAAGAACTAGTTGATCAATTTCAAACAGTTAGTTCCTTAACTGTAACTGATAATATTAAATTTCTCTCTCGTTAAATACTGAGCCCTTCGGGGATGACAACATAAATCGAGCATTGCGACTGTGCCGATGAGATTCTAAGGCTGTAAAATCTTCAAGATGGGTAATATCAGTTGTCACGGTACTGAAATAACATAAAAACCGTAAAATAAAATCAAGACTGCAAAGTGCGGAGATGTATGCGTAGTGTGACCAGGTTGCAGGGACGACTGAGCCTCGCATCTGTAACTGAAATATTTGGAACTGAATTAACAAATCGACGACGTTCTTAGTGTTTCAATATATCTTCACAACATGCACTATAGAATAAAGACTTACACCAAATAAGTAATGTAGTCAGTGCCAGCCAGTGACTTCCGAACATAGCCAGCGCTGTTAGCGTATAACTACATGCATCGGACTACTACTACTACACATCGCCCATGGATATCGACAACGGAAACAACCATTCCCGTTCTGCTGTTTCTACGAACTGACCCGCTTGATTGTCCCATTCGTGACTTAATAATGCAAGAATACGTGCGTCTCCCACGAAATCACTTCTAAACTCGCCACATAGTGACCGCGTGCTTTCTACGAGCCTCTTGGCTCCGTCATGTGGCGCATAGAGACGCACGGAGACGCACGGAGACGCACGGAGGTGCACGAGGCCGTACATTTACTGACAACCGTATGTCAGAAATGTATCTTGTTAATGATTCGGCTTTGATCGACGTGTCTCCGCATTAGAGCATCCTTTTGGTAACGAAGGGAAAGTGCTCTAGATTTCATTTTGTCCGATCACCGATATAGAGTTGTTTGAGTTCAACATAACATCTTGAGGTGCCGGAATGTATCGGAACCTAGGCGTTACTTCTTACTGAGGAATCATTGAAATGAACTTGCTACCGGCAACTGAGGGTAATGATAATACTTTCAGAGGCTTTTTTCATTTTTTACTTTCTAAATTGAGACATGAGGTAGAATTTTCAATTTAATTACGCGAATAATTGATTTATAGATCTAGTGTGAGTGGGGGAGGTGTGCTTATCGTGCTATCACTACTGTCACTAGGACCAGTCTTGTGAGGACGGTCTTCACAATCTACAAGTAATTCTAATATATTTATACAATTCTTGACGATTTCGAACTCACTACAGCTCTACAACTCTACAAGTCGCCCGGCTAGTTGATGTCTGGCCTGCAGAGGTGGGTGCGAGCAACGGACATCGCTCGACGTTCAATAATGACTTGTGCTACTTTTAATATAATGTGAATTAAAGACGAAAGCTATCGCTTTTAATGTAAGAAAAACTGTAGGTACCTGGACATTTCTGAATTTACAATAACGGACAGTTTGATGGTAAAATGTTGTTGACGTGATCAGTACTGATTATTATCAGCCTGTCGAGGGCTGGTCCTCGTTATAACGACTCATCAGTCAAAGTAACTTTACTGATGCCCTCCGATCAACTGCGACACAACATTTCGCATAATCCCAGTCCCAGGGCTTGCTTTGAGTGTTGCAAAAAAAATGGTGGCTACGTTTGTCTCCAAAACCGGCCATGTTACGACTATTCCTCTCGAGGGACAAAGAACAATGCAGAATGGTATGCTAGCATTTGTTTGCCACAGGTCGTTTCTGAGCTCCGTAAAGAGAACTGCAACCGCCGCATCATCCTCCATCACGACAATGCGAGTTCTCACACCGCGCACAGAACAAAAGAGTTTTTAGAGCAAGAAAACATAGAATTATTAGACCATCCGCCGTACAGCCTCGACCTAAGCCCTAATGATTTCTATACTCTCCCTAAAATAAAGAATAAATTGCGTGGACAGAGATTTTCATCACCTGAAGAAGCTGTGGACGCCTACAAAACGGCCATTTTGGAGACCCCAACTTCCGAATGGAATGGTTGCTTCAATGATTGGTTCCATCGTATGGAAAAATGTGTCAAATTTCGCGTAGAATACTTCGAAAAGCAATAAATACATTTTTAAATAGTAATGTTGTGTCACTTCGTTAATTCCCGAAACTTTCAGTGCCACCTATGTATTTATTATCTCATTGTTGAGATACTGAGGTTCATACTGAACGAATTCAAGAAGTAAAATTACCTCAAGGTGACGTGTGATCGGTGTAGCAGCGAGGGCGTCGTAGGGAGGATGTGGCGAGGGGAGAGGCGGGAGTGGACGAGTGCTGCTCGTAAAAAACGCATCAATCTCGGCGACTGAGCGGTGATCAATCACCAGCATTAGCTGCGCGGCACCGGAGCCCCCTCGCCCCGCGCGTCCCCCCGCCTCTCTGACGCGATAACCCTTTACATTCCATAGAAAGGCGACAAGAGTAGTTCGCCTCGCTCGAGCACTCGTATGGGTGAGAGCCACCACTCAAATGAAGTTGTTTCGATGCGTTTCGGTAGGGGCCCTGGCTCGCACTCAACTGTAAACACGATTGGTCGACCTTGGTCTAGACAGTCGGTGCGCAGTCCGCTCACAGTCGCGGATGATGATATGCTCGTGTAGTGCAGGCACGTCTTTATCAGGTCCAGTACACCGTCACTTGTAATTAGCGAAACACAATCGTGCTTTAAATCGACACTCAGATTTTCTTGAGGTTTCCAAATAATAGGTTGGGGAAAAGTTTCTTTGCATTTATTAAGGAAATTCACAACATTTTTTAACATAGTTTATTTACATTTAACTAAATTATGTAGGAACCATTTTGTTCGTTAATTTTTGCCATCTTGTAGGTAGGGACGTGATCCCATTGCTATAAAACTTTGGGGCTTCTGATCAAAATACCGCGACAATTGGTTTAGGCAGTCCTCTCATGATGTTATTTTTTTTATTTTTTATTTATTGCTTAAATGAGTGGACGAGCTCACAGCCCACCTGATGTGAAGTGGTTTCGGGAGCCCATAGACGTCTACGACGTAAATGCGCCACCCTGAGATATAAATTCTAAGGTCTCAAGTATAGTTACGACGCTGCCCCACCTTTCAAACCGAAACGCATTACTGCTTCACGGTATAAATAGGCAAGGTGGTGGTACCTACCCGCGCGGACTCACAAAAGGTCCTACCACCAGTAAACCTGACACTGCCTAAAGAATTCTGAAGAGACCGAAACAGCTCGAAATCTGAAGGTGCAAGGTCAGGAATATACGGCGGATGCATTAACACCTCCCAGCCAAGCTCTCTTAATTTTTACTGAGTGGCTAAACATGTGTGGGGTCTAGCGTTATCATGATGAAAAATCACACCCCATCTGTTGATAAATTCCGGCCGCTTTCTCTCAATTTCTTGCTTTAATCTTATCAGTTGTTCGCAGTAGAGTTCAGAATCGATGGTCCTGTCTGGTGGTAACAGCTCATAATGAATAACGCCCTTCCACTACACACACAGCATCACCTTCTTGCGAGTTAACCCGGGTTTCGCCACAGCTGTGAATCCTGACTGGCCTTTGACCACGACCTTTTTCGCACGTTCTTGTCGTACGTGAAGCACTTTTCATTACCAGCCATTTCATTATCAGCTTCTTCAAAAGTGGATCGGTTTCATTACGTCGTAATAAAGAATCACAAATGAGTACACGGTTCATTAGGTTTCTTTCAGTAAGCTCGTGAGGTACCCAAATATCGAGCTTTTTTGTGTACCCAGTTTTATTCAAATGCGCCAAAACTATTTTGTGGTCATTCCCAGCTCTTCAGCTATGTCGTAACTACTGATATGCCGATCTTGTTCCACTTTTTAAAAAATGGCATCCAATTTATCCGTAATAGGGCGACCAGAGCGACGTGCATCTTTGACATCACAATTTCCGGATTGAAAACGCTTAAACCAAATTTGTGCTACTCTCACAGACACTGCGCCAGGCCCATAAACATCGCAGATTTTTGCAGTTTTACCTTTTTTGTTAGTAAAATTTTAAAATGTATCGAATTTCTGCCTTAGATTCACTCATCTTGACAGTACGAAAAATAAATAAAAATCACACATTTTCCTAATTTGAATTTAGAATTATCTTCTTTAAAATTTAAACTTTTAATGATACCAAAACCAGCCAGATACAAATAGTATAGCCAAAGATATTTTATTACAAGTTCATGCATACTATAATGCGAAAAGACTTTCCCCAACCTTATATGTACAAATATAATGCTACGCGCTGGGGTTCGGGATAAATAAAATTTCATCAAAGTACAACAGTAACTTAAAACTGTATTCAACACTTAGAACACTTAAATACTTCACAAACACTTTAAAACTCTCAATTCGCTTGTTCCGCTTCGCTTCAGGTGCTCCGTTCGCTGTTTCGCTTCGAGTAGTTCCGATTACTGACTGACTGCGTGCCATCTCTACAACGCTTTTTTTATTTTTATATTATCCCTAGAATTATCGAGAATATTCCACACATCTCTAGTAGTAGTTTCCGCTATCTGACAATAGATGGCGTTGTACTTTTCGAGCGTTCTAGATCCTTCGATATTCGTTCGATTATTTGGCGATCAATATTGACGATCGGCAAAACAAAACAACACTATTACCTGTTACTATCACTCTATAGATGCATCTCCGCAGTGCAATGTTCGTGTCTCTACGTACTTGGTCCGTTACAACGTGTCCTGTGCGACGATGTACCTGCGCGTGCACTGTACATATATGTATATAGTGTGCACTGCTTGTTTCAGATGGGTGCGCATGTAGCGGGATGGGCGCGGCGCGGTAGTGAGTGATGTCAGTCTCCGCGCTCGGCGTCACGCTCGCCGTCACGCTCGGCGTCACGCTCGCTGCGCTGGTCGCCCGCGCCGGCGGCGGCTCGCTCGGTCAGTACCGTGCGCTCGGATAACGACCGAACTCGAAACAGAGAAAAATCGTGCTTGCTTGTAGCTTCACATAGCTACTTCAGATAGCTTTAGGGTCGCGAGCTGCCCTACTCCCGCGCTGAGCCGGCCTCGGGTCTTCGAGCTCGTATAGAATTTCCCAAACCTTCTTTATAAGAATCATACGACGGTTCTTACCAAAAATTTCACTTTTGTTCAGTTCCCCTTGTTGCGACGGTATTGCAAGTGCCATGATCACTGGTAGACTGAAGACTGTGGGTAAGATGTTAGTAGCAGGCAAATCTGTCTTCTCCTTTTCTAGTCCGTTTTTGGAAGCCTTGACAATATATGTACACTCTGTACGTATCAAGTTTTTATTTATTAATTATTATTAGTATTGTTTAAAGCACTTCACATGTATATATTGTATGATATATGTACATATGTAGATATGTGTACATAGCATACGCAGAAGGAAGAACTCGGAGATACTGTTTTATCTTTATTTTATTTATTGCATTGATGGCTGAACGAGTTCACGGCTCGCGTGGTATTAAGTGGTTACGGAGCCCATAGATATCAGAACTTGAATTGTACAGGAGATCAAAGCTAAATTAATATATTACGATTTGAAGCCGAACTCAGCGACGATACCCATACACACACACGTGAGGGTCACAGCACTCCCTACCACCAGTAAAGATCATCGCGCTTACAGAAACATTTCTTCGGAATCACAGTACTGTAATGCACCGCGCATACATCAGTGCGACGCAGGTACGATGCAAGTACTGTAGAAGTAGTAAGGGTAGGAGTGATGAGTGCAGTCACAGCAGTGGGGCACACGAGTCAGCGACGGAGGTGTTACAGAAGCAGGGTCGGCGGCGACGGGCCCGAGCGTGGTGGTGTCGCACTCCGACCTCACCGAGCTGGCGGAGTTGGCCGGGGTGGTGCCGGCGTGGCGCGAGCTGTGGCTGGGCTCGCTGGACGCGCTGCACCGCGAGCCCTCCATCAACAACACGCAGGAGGACGTGCTGGCGCAGCTCGGGGCCGTCGCCTTCCTGCATTGTCCCGTCCGCAACCTCGGCGAGCGAGGGGTCAGTACCACGCCATGCTCTCACTGCCGCCACCCACACGCAGATTGTACAAGTGCTATTTGTGTTTAGGTGTCGTGGGTTCGGCGCCGCGACTGGCACATCATCAGCTCAGGAGTGCTCATGTACACAAATGATGAACGGTTCCAGGTACGACTCGGAGCACACGCATCCCTAGCATATAGCATTGTACTGTACGCACTCTGTCTGCCTCCAGGTGCTGCACAGCGAGGGGTCGGATGATTGGATCCTGCAGATTAAGTACGTTCAGAAACGAGACAACGGAACTTACGAGTGTCAGGTGAGCACCTGCCAGTTGTCGGGTACCACTGAACCATCTCCCACTGTCCCCGCTTCGACTATGACGTGCAACCGCCAGCCGGCAGGGCACGCGATGGGCTGGCTGTATAATACTATCGTAAATCTATAATTAGAACAGAGCCAGGTAGATGTATAATTAGTCTGGCCATAAATACTGTTACAATTTAAAAAAAACTTCAAGGGACACCCGGATGGAACGAAGTTCCTTTCGATTAATTAATGAAGGAATTGTAATTTTTTTTTTAAGTTATAATAATAAATTACGGCATTATGAAGAAGAAAAAAACAATACTATGAACTAAATTACTATTGTTGAAACGCTATCTCGAGAAACTGTACTCATTACGCGGACCAATCGGATACGAGCAATGTCACGCGATAAGCGCCTACACGTTGATTGGTCAGAATGACGGATCTAAAAAGTGTCGTGACAACTTTTCGTAAGAATTTTTTCCGTCTAGCCCCCTTTCACAACGCGCGATAAGGAACTTCGTTCCAATAAACAAAATATTACATTTGAATTTGGAATCTGTCATTTTTATATGATTTCTCATTGAGTTTTCTCATTTTGGCGCCAATACATTGTACAATATTTTGCGATATTAAAATGGAGTGGGGTGATAAAGGGAACCGAGTCGCTGTTATTGCATTACACAAAATAGGTATGGAGCCAAAGGCAATTTTTAAAACTCTCTATACGCTTGGTATTAGTAAAATTTTTGTGTACCGGGCTATTAATAGGGGGGGGGGAGATGAAGATAGCACCTAGAACCATGTCGCGTATTTTAAAAGATGACTTAGGACTTGCAGCCTATAAGAGACGTACTGGTCATTTCTTAACTGATAATTTAAAAGAGAATAGGGTGGTAAAATCGAAATCGAATCGAAGTCGTTGTGGCCTAAGGGATAAGATGTCCGGTGCATTCGTGTTTAGCGATGCACCAGTGTTCGAATCTCAGGCAGGTACCAATTTTTCTAATGAAATACGTACTCAACAAATGTTCACGATTGACTTCCACGGTGAAGGAATAACATCGTGTAATAAAAATCAAACCCGCAAAATTATAATTTGCGTATTTACTGGTGGTAGGACCTCTTGTGAGTCTGCGCGGGTAGGTACCACCACCCTACCTATTTCTGCCGTGAAGCCGTAATGCGTTTCGGCTTGAAGGGCGGGGCAGCCATTGTAACTATACTGAGACCTTAGAACTTATATCTCAAGGTGGGTGGCGCATTTACGTTGTAGATGTCTATGGGCTTCAGTAACCACTTAACACCAGGTGGGCTGTGAGCTCGTCCACCCACCTAAGCAATAAAAAATAAAAATAAAACAACTACTGAAGCTGTACGCAAAGGGAGGTCATAGAAAAATTTTGTTTACGGATGAGAATTTTTTTAAAATTGAGCAACATTTTAACAAACAAAATGGCCGTATTTATGCTCAAAGCTCTAAGGAAGCTTCCCAATTAGTCGACAGAGTGCAACGTGGGCACTATCCGACTTCAGTGATGGTTTGGTGGGGTATTAGCTATGAAGGAGTGACTGAGCCATATTTTTGTGAAAAAGGTATCAAAACATCGGCATAAGTGTATCAAGATACCATTCTTGAGAAGGTAGTGAAGCCCCTTAACAACACCATGTTCAATAATCAAGAATGGTCCTTCCAGCAAGACTCGGCGCCAGGTCATAAAGCTCGGTCTACGCAGTCTTGGTTGGAAACGAACGTTTCGGACTTCATCAGAGCTGAAGACTGGCCGTCGTCTAGTCCCGATATTAATCCGCTGGATTATGATTTATGGTCAGTTTTAGAGAGTACGGCTTGCTCTAAGCGCCATGATAATTTGGAGTCTCTAAAACAATCCGTACGATTAGCAGTGAAAATTTTTTCCATGGAAAGAGTGCGTGCTTCTATTGATAACTGGCCTCAACGTTTAAAGGACTGTATTGCAGCCAATGGCGACCACTTCGAATAAGCTTTTTATACTTTAAATTGTTTTATATTTATGTATTAAACCAAAACACTGTAAAGGTAATAAATGTTATTTGCAATATATTTTATTTTTATTTTTAATTGTAACAGTAGTTATGGCCAGACTTAGTAGTACGAGTACGAGTTGAGATGGTGAGCTTGTGTTGACGCCCCAGGTGTCGACGGCGTCCGGCACGCTGTCCCGGCTGGTGCACCTGCACATCGCGGTGCCGGAAGCATTCATCCTGGGCGCCGACGAGCATCATGTGGACGCCGGCTCCACTATCAACCTCGTCTGCATCATCGAAAAGGTATATCGCATTCCGTATCTCTCATCTATCAGTTGCTGACACATGTAGAAGTGCTGGATATTGTACGTGTGTGTGGTTGTGTGGCAGAGTCCGGTCCCGCCGCAGTACGTGTTCTGGTACCACAACTCGCGCATGATCAACTACGACGCGGCGCGCGGGGTGACGGTGCAGACCGAGCCCGGCCCCAAGACGCAGTCCGCGCTCGCCATCCGCTCGGCCGCGCCGCGACACTCCGGCAACTACACCTGCGCCGCCGCCAACACCGAGCCGGCGCACATCTACGTCTACGTCTCCGAGGGCAGTCAGTATCCGTCCCCGCACCCGTCCACCCATCCGCGCTCACCAACAACTCGCCCTCATACCGATGAGCTGTTTCTGTGTGCAGGCGACAAGATGGCGGCGACGCTGAGCAGGAGCCGGAGCGGGCGCGGGGCGGCGGGGGGCGCGGTCCTGCTCGCCAACCTGCTCGCCAACCTGCTCGCCGCCCTGCTCGGTGTGAGGCTCGGCGCGCTCTGAGCCGCCCGACCCTGTCTAGTCTAGTTTACTGTGTACATACTATGTTGTAATTATAACAATAACTTGAATTGAGGAATTTTATAAATGTATTATTAATGTAAATCTATTCGAATTTTATTGTCCTTCAAAAAGGAATTGCCCATATGTTTTATGAAAACAAAATGTAAATAACGAGATAATAACTATANTATTAAACCAAAACACTGTAAAAGTAATAAATGTTATTTGCAATAGATTTTATTTTTATTTTTAATTGTAACAGTATTTATGGCCAGACTTAGTAGTACGAGTACGAGTTGAGATGGTGAGCTTGTGTTGACGTCCCAGGTGTCGACGGCGTCCGGCACGCTGTCCCGGCTGGTGCACCTGCACATCGCGGTGCCGGAAGCATTCATCCTGGGCGCCGACGAGCATCATGTGGACGCCGGCTCCACTATCAACCTCGTCTGCATCATCGAAAAGGTATATCGCATTCCGTATCTCTCATCTATCAGTTGCTGACACATGTAGAAGTGCTGGATATTGTACGTGTGTGTGGTTGTGTGGCAGAGTCCGGTCCCGCCGCAGTACGTGTTCTGGTACCACAACTCGCGCATGATCAACTACGACGCGGCGCGCGGGGTGACGGTGCAGACCGAGCCCGGCCCCAAGACGCAGTCCGCGCTCGCCATCCGCTCGGCCGCGCCGCGACACTCCGGCAACTACACCTGCGCCGCCGCCAACACCGAGCCGGCGCACATCTACGTCTACGTCTCCGAGGGCAGTCAGTATCCGTCCCCGCACCCGTCCACCCATCCGCGCTCACCAACAACTCGCCCTCATACCGATGAGCTGTTTCTGTGTGCAGGCGACAAGATGGCGGCGACGCTGAGCAGGAGCCGGAGCGGGCGCGGGGCGGCGGGGGGCGCGGTCCTGCTCGCCAACCTGCTCGCCAACCTGCTCGCCGCCCTGCTCGGTGTGAGGCTCGGCGCGCTCTGAGCCGCCCGACCCTGTCTAGTCTAGTTTACTGTGTACATACTATGTTGTAATTATAACAATAACTTGAATTGAGGAATTTTATAAATGTATTATTAATGTAAATCTATTCGAATTTTATTGTCCTTCAAAAAGGAATTGCCCATATGTTTTATGAAAACAAAATGTAAATAACGAGATAATAACTATATTTGGCCGACACTTGATGGTATCGATTTTATTCAATTTATATCATCTACATTATGTGAATTTATACAGTAATAACATTTTTACTTAGGAGAGTTACGAATGGTGTGAAATGGACTGTTGTGTTGGTCACTGCGACGGTGCAACCCCACTAGCTCCGAACTGGACTTTTATATTTATAAAGATTTGATTCAACTAAAATATAAGAGGTGAGGCGCGCGTGCATGTGTGTGTGTGTGTGTGTGTTATAACATTAGGTGAACTGAACGTGGTCGAGACTCGTTGAGCGACAGACGGTGCGGTCTCTGTCGCCCCCCGGACCGGGAATAGGATTAAGTTAATTGTAAGTTGTCGACGCCACCGCAGATACGTATGTACCTAACGAATGTGACTAGACGCCATTTTGTTGCCAAGACCCGCCCGGCTCGCCCGGGGAGCCCGGGGAGCACGGGGTGTCCGGCCACAAGATGGCGTCGAACGTTTAATCAACGTCAGGATTCATGTTTTTCTCAAGACTTCCAATTATGTAAAGAATAATAAAGAATTGTAAATAACTTATGCCTTTTCCTATTTGCACCCTGTAGGTGGTTTAGAGATAATCCATTGTCAATCGATGGAACTGACATGACACACAAAAATAGAAAAAAATAAAACATATGAATAGACATGAGTTGTTTATGTTAATAATTACCTTACATAGTACCTACACTAAGCTGTAACGTCAGATATCGCCTTATCAATAAAAAAAATCAAATCTAGCATTTGTTTTTGAAGAAAAACTTCTTAGGTCCATTGAGAGTAAAATTGAACTTGTGAGAGATTCTTTACGGTTAGACAGAAAAAATAAAATTTAGGAAGAGAAGATAGACAGAGCGTCTCGGTTTTTTTTTTGAAGTGAAATTTCTTTAGAGTCGTTGTGATTTCAAACTCGATGAAACGAAATGAAACAAAACGAAACGAAAAAATAAGTCCATAGAGACACAAATACATAAATGTATAGGATTCAGCCGGCGAGAGAATGAGATAGAAAACGTTATACGTGAAGTTATAATATCAATTTACAGAGGGCGCTACCTCATGTAAAGATGATTTACAATTATTTCTATTTACTTTGTTATCAACAGAAGTCGCTGCACGTAAATTCAACAATTCCTGAACCGCGGTGACGAGATGTTACACAGTTCCTATTTCTCGTATTTCTCTTGCTACGTCATACTTACCTGGCGTAGGGATACCGTGATCATGCAGGTGGTTCCCCCAGGGTGAGGCTGCGCCATTGCACTGGGTGTGAGTGGTTGACCCTTGCGATTATTTTTATTTTTTTATAAGTTTCACTTCTACCGTGTGTGACTTGCACACACACACACACACACTTTTTTCTTTTTTAAATTCGCGTCACGTATTGTCATGTTGTATTATACCTAGTCAGGTCATAAGTTCTGTCACATGTTTAATGTAAAATAATTGAAACAAGTTTATTCATTATGTAACCATTCATATACCAAAATGAACTTAACAAAACATAGATTCTTATGACATTAAAGTTTATTCAAAATGACCTCCGTGATTTTGAATACAGGCCTTCAATATGCGCGGCCAGTCGTCTATCGCAGCACGAACGAGGTCCATGTCAATATCGGCGGCTGCCTTAATCAAGGATGTCTTGAGTGACTCCAAATTGGGATGAGGCTTTGAGCACGCCTTTTCCTCCAAGTGTTGCCATATCTTGTAATGTAACGGATTCAAATCTGGACTGGAGGAGGGCCAGTCTTCGTGCCGGATGAAGTCGATTCCACGCGCCGCCAGCCAGTCTTGTGTGCTCTTCGCTCTATGAGCTGACGCCGAATCTGTTGGAATACCCAGTGCCTGTTATTGAACATGGTAACAATGGAAACAGGTTCCACAAGGTTCGTCAGGACTGTATTTTGATACACAACTGCATTCGTTTTTACACCTTTCTCACAAAAATGTATCTCTGTTAAGCCCCAATAAGAAACTCCCAACCATACCATGAGCGAGGATGGAAAATGACCTCGTTGGACACGCGGAATACGGTTGCTCGCTTCTTCACTACTGTGTGCGTACACCTTATCATTTTGTTTGTTGTAGCTCTCTTCTACGGTAAAAATTTTTTCATCCGAAAAAAGAATTTCCCGATATTTTTTTCCCGCGTACCGCTTCAACAAAGCGCGGCATCTCTTCAGTCTCAGGTCCATTAGACGAGCATTCAAACGATGTCCTGTTTTTCTTCGATATGCCCGAAGCCCTAAGTCTTCATTTAACACCCTTTTCACCGTGGTTCTGCTTAACCCCATCTGAAGGGCCAACAGTTTCTGCTTACGTTTGGGATTTCTTTGAATTCGCGCCTTCACAGCTTTTATCACTGCTGGAGTCCTAACAGACCGAGGGCGACCACTTCTTGACCTGTCATCTACACTAGAGTCTTCGTTGTATCGTTTGATGATACGATAAACGAATCTTTTGGTTATATTCAAATTTTTTAGTATGTTAAAAATTTGAATTGGCGCGTAACCGCAACGATGCAACGCAATAACTGCAACACGGTCTTCTTTAAGCGTCCACTCCATATTTAAAATAGGAGTAAAATTCTAAAAGTTATACATTTTTATCTTCATGAATAATTCGAAATTCGAATTCAATAAACTTTTTTGTGGCCAGCATTCTAAAAGAAAAGTTTTTACTGTGTGACAATACTTATGACCTGACTAGGTATATTATTTATATATAGTGGTCATACCTGAGTCGCTGGAAGATTTAGGGCAGATGCTCGGTGACCTCAATAGAGTTTCTCAACGAGTGGGCCTTAAAATGAATATGGATAAAATGAAAGTCATGTTTAATTTCTATGCTAAGCCCACTGTAATAACTGTCGGGAACTCCTGAAGTTGTAGATGAATATATTTAGTCTGACCATAAATACTAAAAACTTCTTTTTTTCAACTTTTTAATTTTTTGGAATTTAGAACACGTAGGTCTTTTGCTTCTTCTTTTGATTTTGCGCCATTTTACATATTTTTTCGTGTTCATTATCAAATTACAATATGAAATGGGGTGTTAGAAAAAATCGGATTGCAGTGATCGCCATGCACAAAATGGGTATGGAGCCAGACACTTCAAAAGCTTGGTATCAGCATCGTATATCGTACTATCAACAGATACAACAACACTTCGTCTGTCGAAGGCTGTTAATGTTGTTTAACCCAGAATTTGTCGAAACCCCATTAGAAAGAAAAAATATCTTATCGGGAGAAATGAAGATTCCCGCTAGGAGTCGGTCGCGAAATATAAAACAAGACCTGAAGCTCAGAATATTGTCGATATACAGGATATGCCCTAAATAAATCTTTACAATTAAAGAGAGTGGATCGATCAAAACGCCTTCTGTCGCGATACGCAGGTGAAAGGCACAGAAATATCCTCTTTACCGATGAAAAAGTATTCACGAATATAGAACACTACAACAAGCAAAATTATAAAGTGTACGCTCACAGTTCTAAAGAAGCTGCTCAAATGGTCGGAAACGTACAACGTGGTCATCATCCTGCGTCAGTGATAGTTTGCTGGGGCGTGTCTTATCAAGGAGTCACAAACTGCATTTTTGCGTATGAGTGAAAACTTCAGCCAAAGCTTTTCAAGATACAGTCATGGTTCATGTTGTGAAACCTCTCAGCAATACACTTTCTAAAAATATAACTTATACTTTCCAGCAGGACTCTGCACCTGGTCACAAGGCACGAGCTACCCAAGCCTGGCTTGATACCAACGTTCCAAGAGCCGAAGACTGGCCCTCATCCAACCCAGACCTCAACCCTTTAGACTTCAAATTATGGTTATCTTTAGAGGACTTGGTGGCTTGCTCTAAACGACACGGTGACCTTTTTTTTTTT